TCTTCATCAAATTTTACTATAAATCACCCCGAAAAAGAAATTTGTATTTCCGCTGCATATCGGAAAAATATTTCCATCAATATTTCCTAATTTTTTGATAAATATTTCCTCGAGAAGGCGCCTAGAAGTGACATACAGTTTCGTTTTAGGCAGAAGTTGTCAAAAGGAAAAGTATTCAATACAAAACTTCACTATAAATCTCAGAATATAATATGTAGGTACAATATTTTTTATGAAAATAACATTGGAAATGTATGTACTCAAAGTGAAATTTATATGTTTGCTGAAAATTTAAGACGTTTCCGATCCAAGTCAAAATCTTCCTTTAAACTTAATTTTTTTAAGGATATTGTCAAAGTAGGAATTATTCTAGATCAAACTTCATTGTGAGTCTCTGAACAAAGGAAATGTGTATACCTAATATGTACCACAGAAAAATGGCTTCGATTTTTGTTAATAACAAACCTTGTTTATTTTTTGAAAAATATAAAACTTTTTCACAATTCACTTAATATTTTCCTATAATTTCACTCTGCAAAAGTCAGTCTAAGTTGTAGAAAATTTCAATTGGACTTGATATTACTCAAAACATTTAGGATAGAGCTTTGACACAGATCTTTGGATTACATCAATAATTAGGGTTAAAGAAAATAGCCAATATCGGTCCACTTTTTTGGAATAGCCCCCTGGTAAAGATATCTCCGATTTCAAATATTTTTTATGTTTTAGCTATGTTTTCCATTAAAATTTGGAAAAAGATCTCATTATGTAGAAACACTATTTTCTAAAAAATATTGAAAAATATATCTTAAAATGTGGGGCCCCTTTGTATATCATCAAAACTATATAAGGACCTTAACAACATTTGGCCTAAGAACCAGAAACTCCTTTGGGCTTTTCATCTACGAGCGAGGTCTATCAAATCAACTTGGAATGTTTTGTAGAATATTTCTTCTTTTGACACTTTCTGCCTAAAATGAAATTTTATGTTACTTTCAATCGTCAACTCGAAAAGATGTCCGAGGGAAAATTTGATAAGAGATAGGGAATCATTTGGTTTTTTTTGGGAGACATTGACGCTAATATTTTTTATATCCTACACCACATAGTGGTAAGGGTATTATGTCTTTGTGCATTTGTTTGTAACATGGAGAAGGAAATGAGATGGACCCATAGTTACTTTTGAGAACCTCCATAGAATCACTTTCTGAGTCGATTTATGCATGTCAGTCCGTCTGTCCGTCCGTCTGTCCATGTATTCTTGTGAACCAAATGCAGGTCGCATTTATTATCCGATTGAGATGAAATTTTCCAAACAATATTTTTTTGGCCCAAGGACGAACCCTATTGAAATTGGTGAGAATCGGATCAAATTTAGATATAGCTCCCATATATATCTTCATCCGATTTCGGGTTAAATGTGCACCAAATATCCACTATCAGTCCAAACTACCTGAATTTTGGCACACCCAACCGAGTTCGGCCTAGAAGCAAGTATATCAAATTTGGAGAAAATCGGTTCAGATATAGCTATAGCTCCCATATATATCTTTCATCCGATTTGATCTTTAAGTCCCTTATATTCCTACTATGCACTCCACAACCGTGATATTTAGTATCAGGTATTAGATGGAGCACAGAAATAGCTGTTTTAAATTTTATCGAAATCGGTTCAGATTTGGATATAGCTCCCATATATATCTTCATTCGATTTCAGGTTAATTGACCACCAAATGGCCAATATCAGCCCAAATGGCCCGAATTTTGGCACATGTGGCCGAGTTTAGCAATAGCTCCCATATATGTCTTTCATCCGATTTGGTGTTTAAGCCTCTCACATTCGTAATATGCACTCCACAAGAATGATATTTGGTACCAGATATAAGATACAGCCCAGAAATAGCTGTTTGTAATTTTATCGAAATCGGTTCAGATTTGGATATAGCTCCCATATATATCTTCATCCGATTTCGGGTTAATTGTGCACCAAATGGCCGATATAAGTCCAAATGGACTGAATTTTAGTACATCGGACCAAATTCAGCCTAGAAGCAAGAATATCAAATTTGGTGAAAATCGGTTCAGATATATATATGTAGCAACCATATATATGTTTCATCCGATTTAGAGTTTAAGTCCCATACATTCGTAATATTCACTCCACAACCGTGATATTTGGTACCAGGTATTAGATGGAGCACAGGAATAGCTGTTTTAAATTTTATCGAAATCGGTTCAGATTTGGATATAGCTCTCATATATATCTTCATCCGATTTCGGGATGCACTAAATGGTCAATATCAGCCCAAATCACCAGTCTAGAAGCTAATACGTAAAATTTGGAGAAACCCGGTTCAGAGATAGCTATAGTTCGTAAAATGCACGATAGAATTAGATAGATTTTGATTTTGTACCAAATATCTCATAGAGCTCTGAAATGCCCTGTAAAAACCTTTTTACGAGAGCTCTACTAAATATGCATAGTGGTGTAGGGTATCATATAGTCGGCCCCGCCCGACTTTTGAGCTTTCCTTACTGGTTAATATATATGAAGTCCTTTGGGTGTGATATGGAGTTGTAAGGAATCGCTGACTTGTTTCGCAAGTTATTACAGAAAAAGGTTTGAAAATAGTAACCTTTTGTGGGTGAGGTACCAGAAGAGGTTCGCAGATATATTTCATCTTCACAACAGATCTTGTGTTAGTCGGAACGGATCTTGTGTTAGCCGAGTTCCGCTTTTAAGAGCGTTTTGTTGTTCAAAATCTTAAACACTATATTCTGGAAAGGTACCAGAAGAGGTGCGGCGATATATCCCATCTTCATAGCAGATTTTGTGTTAGTAGAAATAATGGGATGTGCGAAATTGTTAAAGAACCAGATTCTTACCTCGAATTTTATCATCGTTTTGGTTATTTAAAATTTTGACCTACCCTGTGGGGTAGGAAGCAGAAAAAATGTCCTGATCTCTACCATCTTCATAACAGATCTTGTATTGATAGAAACATGGAGATGTGTGAAAAATGAAGAGAAGTGGGCCAATATATTTCATTCTCACATCAAACCTTGCGTTAATAAAAATATTGTGAGGTGTGTAATATGAAAAAAAAAAATATCGGACACTTAACTTTTTATAAGAGTTATAATTATTAAAAAAAAATGTTGACCCTTTGTGGAGGAGGTATTTGATGGAGTTGACCGATATTGTCCATATCACACCTGACCTAGCACTGATGTAAATATTAGGATTTGCAAAGTTGGAGCAAAATCGAATTATCCTTCCTATTTTTGTGCAGTAAATTATATTCTTTGAAAATGTTGACATTTTGGGGGGAGGTACCAGAAGAAGTGGGCCGATATTGCTCATCTCCGAACCCGATCTAAGGTGGCAATAATGTTACGATATACCATGTTTGGATCGGACAGACAGACGGATGGACATCGCTAGATCGACTCCAAATGTCCTGAAACGGATTTAGTCCAAAGGGACCTAGGGTCTGAAAGAGTTATTTCGTTGAGGCACGTTTTGGCCGCATCAAATAATATATGCCCTCTGTAGCCATATGGCTGAGGGTAAAAAAGGACCGCAAACACACCTAAAATACACACATTCCAAAGATTCTTATTCCAAAAATGTCCAAAAGTAATGAGGGAGAGGACCTTGCCTCCACATATGGCTTCTGTTTTAGCTCTAAATTCATAATATCCTGGATTTTTTCCGAAATTATTTGAAAATGATTTTTTCGCACAGTGTAATCTTTATATAAGAAAGACTTGTGGTCTTGTGCGGCATATTTTTGCCATATAAAACGATATATACCATCTGTATCCATAAGTAGAGTTATGTCAACCTAGTTCATAGTTCAGTACAATGGTTCCCAATCGTATGAGTGATTTCATAAATTTCACATAACTCATACGCAGAGTTTTCAGACAAACGACCGGAATTCACGGAATTAGATAAAGAACTAGTTCGGGTAAGGGTATATTCAAATAAATTCTGACAGTTTTGCTGGTCGTATGAGTATGGAAATATAACATCCATGGTGGCGTATGATTACAATTCTTGGAATATTACGTATACGCCTCGAACAAAAGAAATATACTTTGTTTTAATTTTGTCTGATACCAAATACCGATACCAAAAAAGGTATCGGTCAATTGAAATCACTAAAAGCACCAAATGCTAATATGGGCCCATTTTTCAAAAGTTGAATTGTTCCCTATATATGGTATCCAAGTTCGTGTTAAACAAGTGTAATATTTAAAAAAAATATATATTTCATAAAAATATTTAAATGTTTTGAAAAAAATATTAATAAAAACCAGTAAAGAAAGTCTTAAAGTCGGCCGGGGCCGATATCCAAATCTGAACCGATCTCGATAAAATTAAGCAAAGGTATTTCTGAGCTGTATTTGATATATATCCCCAAATATTGTTGTTACAGAGTGTATATTACGGCTGCGGAGGACAAGAATAACAAATCGGATGAACAATATATATGGGAGCTATAGCTATATCTGAACCGATATATACTTATTTTCAGGTCCAATATGATCGTACGTGCAAAATTCCATACAATTCGGACTGATATTACACGTTTGGTGCACAATAAAAGGCAAATCGGACTAAGATATATATGGGAGCTATATCTACATTTTTACCGATTATCTGCAATTTCAATAGGGTTCGTCCTTGGGCCAAACAAATGTTGTTTGGAAAATTCCGTCTCAATCGGATAATAAATGCGACCTGCATTTTGTTCACAAAAATACATGGACAGACGGACGGACAGACGGACTGACAATCAACTCAGAAAGTGATTCTATGGAGATCCTTAAAAGTAACTATGGGTCTATCTCGCTTCCTTCTCCATGTTACAAACAAATGCACAAAGACATAATACCCTTACCACTATGTGGTGTAGGGTATAAATATATTTTCAATTATATTGCCCTTACTAAACGTGAATCTTAAACCTATGAAAAAAAGTTATACTTACTTCAGAATATTTTTATTTGCTCCGTTAAGGTGGGGATGATATGAGTTGGATTTATTGGAATTTATTTATTCGTTTTTTTTTTGTTTTTTCCACTTTTACCGTCAATAAATGACTTAATTATCAAAGAAAATTCACTATTAACATCAATCCAATCAGTCATCCATGCAGTGCAGTGGATCGATCGTTTAGCTTCTGACACAATTTCCAATTATTGATGATTATTTTTACTTTTTTAATTTTTATTAAATTTTATTGTAATTAAACCGTCATATTTTTCCGTTGCAATGACAATGCCGAAATAAAAGCCGATAGGAAGAAAACAGCATCTGCCGATTTTGTTTATTTATGCATTACAACTGAAACACAAATAAATATTATTTTTTATATTTTGATATAAATAAACTGTTGAATTTGTTGTAATTTTTTATTTTTATATTTTTTTTGTTTTTTCTCTTTCTTGTAATCAATTTGTATTTTTTGGTGTGTGTACGTAGGCACGGATGTAACTGCGTTTTAATTCAAATTCTTATCATCATCTCGGCTCTGGAAATTCACTTAATTTTCGTATTTTTTCGCAAATATGGCCATAGTTGTAGTTTTTTTTTCATTGTGTTCATGTTGCAAAATTTCACAGGGAAGAGTAAAGGGGGGGGGGGAGGAACAGAGGAGGGTGGCCAAGAGAGAGAGAGAAAGTAAACATAAAACGAGGTTTGGTTAATAATTGACATTTTGCTTTTAGAAATCACGAAAGTGATTGGATATTTGATTGTTTTTTTTTTTTGGAAAATTTACCACAGCTCAAAATGTCAGAATCTTTTGTAGAGAACATGTATGGAGAAATTCCTTCAAAGTGGCATTTCTAAAGAAGACTTCTTTGTTTTTCTTAGTTTTTTTTTTTTTTTTTTTTGATCTTAGAGGACTATCATCTTTATAATATTCCATTCTATAGATAAAGGGCCTCCTTTAAAAAAAAAAAGTAATAAATAAAGCAGCAAAGTTTGGCCGGAACTTTTAATAGCCTCCACCATTTTGAAGGAACTTAAAAAATTAGTCAAAAGAAAAGTCAAAAGTCGGGCGGGCCGACTTTATGATACCCTACATCACTATGCATATTTAGTAAAGCTTCCATAACAAAAGAATTTATTTGACTACTATCACGCTTGAATTCCATCACGAATAACTTTTTTTCTGGAAAATTCTGACCAAAATGCATTTGTACGCTTGTAAACAATATAATGAGATGTCACTGCAATAATTTCAACAGCTGTCGGACGAGTGGCTTAGACATGACAGCAGTCTGAAGTTGGTTGCGGTTTTTTCTTCTCACCCTGTATGGGAGCTACATCTAAATCTTCTCCGACTATCACCAACTTCAATAGGGATTGTGCTTGGGCCAAACAAATATTGTTTGGAAAATTTCATCTCTGTCGGATAATAAATGCGACCTGCACTTTGTTCACAAGAATGCATGGACAGACGGGCGTGTCAGTTCGTAAATAAATCGACTTAGAAAGTGATTCTATGAAAATCCTCAAAAGTATCTATGGGTATATCTCGCTTCCCTCTCCATGTTACAACCAAATGTACAAAGACATAATACCGTTATCACTATGTGGTGTATCGTATAAAAACCCTTAGAATTTTTTGTCATAGGCTGTAGTACCCATTACGAACTTCAAATGCGAAATTTGAAACAATTCCGGTGAAAAATGTCGCTAACATTATCAAAATACCGAATATAAGGAGGTGCCATTATAGGGGGGCTATACGAAAACGTTGACCTGCATAGACAATTTTTTGTCATATGTTGTAGTGGTCATTGCGAACTTGAAATACGAAATTTGAAACAATTCCGGTGAATAATTAAGTAAAATTATCAAAATACCGAATATCGAGAGATATCGTTATATGGGGGCTATATGAAAACTTGGACCGACATGGTCCATTTACCTTTTACTGTCTACCGGCAAAATACACATGTGTGCAAAATTTTAGCCTTCTATCTCAATTTGTTCCAAATATTGCGTGATTACATCAGACAGACAAACGGACATCGCTAAATCGACTTAGTGTTTTACGCTGATTAAGAATATATAAATATATATGTTTGTTGGATCTGACATGAATATTTCGAGGAGTTACAAACGGAATGACAAAGTTAATATACCCTATAAAGAAAGTACAAAACTCATATCATATTCTACACCAAGGACTGGATTCTTGTTCTATGAAAATATGAAATGAAAAATATTTCCTTTATAAAACTTTTCAATTGAGATTTCTTTCATTTCATTTCACATTTTCATAGAACAAGAATTGAGGCCCGGTATGCAGATTTATTAATGTAATAATCTTTCAAAAGAGTCCTTACAAAATCCAATCCGCAACTTTTCTTTAACAACATTTTTTTGGAACATCAACAATTAAATATCCGATGATCCTTCAAAATATTATTTTGATTTATGGGCATTTTTCAAAAACAAAATCGTACATCTTTCCATCAATCCAAAATATTCATCAACATGGAAATTATCTCGAACACCCAAAATATCCCCATTTTTTCCAAATTCATTGCTGCCAGCCCTCGTACAGAGCTTTACATTGTAAACTAGCAGTTGGTTTTATTTTTTCTCATCATCAGTCATCCAGTAATGAAATGCAATGATCATAATTTCGCTCTAAAAGAAATCACAAACACACCAGTTGTTGCAAGTTGTATTGTTGTTGTAATTCAGCAACAACTACAACAACAACAGTGACATCGACAGCAAAGACAAACAAGAAAAGAAAATTACAGTCACAAAGCAATGAAAAACAGAAGAGAAAATCAGAGGAGGGAAGAAGAAACAAAGGAAAGGAAAAAGTTTGAAATGGTATTCGTCTAGATCGAATATTATTTACCCTTCGCTTTGATATGCCGGAGTCAATTCAACCACTATTACACTATTATATTTGGTATCAATGATTTTTTCTATCGCAGGAAAAGGTGTTTAAATCAAATTTCAAAAATCCAACCTACGCACCAAGACTGGCGCTCGTGCAAAATTTCAAGATTCCAAGCGACTTGATCGATACCCGCGTCGCAGTGGCCGAAAAATGGCTCGTGAGCTGAACATATCGCAATATTCCCTTCGGCAAATATTGAAAAATGAGCTCAGGGTAAAGCCATTGAAATTACAAAAAGTGCAAGAACTTACACCGCAACAGAAAGAAAATTGCCGAATTTGGTTTTCTCCGATGAGAAAACATTCGTTGTCCAGCAGTTTGTAAACAAAGAGGTCAGCTGAAAATGTTCACCTTCGGTTGGCCACCAGAACTCAAGCACCGGCCATGGTGATGGTGTGGGAATATTATCGCGAAAATATTCTGGAGGGTGTATTAAAGCCTTGGCCACGCAAACATTTTGGCCATCATACTCTCCTCATTCCAAATTTAGGAGTTTTAGCTCTATTACTTCCTCAAATACAAAGAGTGCCACACATAGTACATTTAAATACTTTTCGTGCCGTTACCGTACCGGTCAACATTTTGCAAATTCTTATATTTGCGTCATTTGTAGGTCAGGTGCGAAAATGTACAATATCGGTCTACTCCTTCAAGTATCTCCCCCACAAAGGGTCAACATTTTGAATTATTACATCTCTTGTAAAATGTGATGTATAAGTCCGATTGTCTTCAAATTTCACACATCCCAATTTTTTTTATTAACACAAGGTCTGGTATGAAGATGGAATATATCGGTACCACCCTCACAAAGGGTCAAAATTTTAAATATCTATTAAGCTTATAAAACGTGAAATTAACCTTCGATTCCATTCCGACTTGGCACACCACAATATTTGTATCAACACAAGATCTGTTGTAAAGATGGTAGAGATTGGACCATTTGTTCTGGTAACTCCCCCACAAAGAGTCAAAATTTTGAATAACCAAAACAATCATAAAATCGGAAATAAGCATCCGGTTCTCATCAAATTTCATACATGCCATTATTTATACTAACACTGTGAAAATGGGATATATCGGCGCACTCCTTCTGGTACTTCCCCCACAAAGAGTTCAAAATTTTGAAAAAATAAAACGCTCATAAAACCCTAAGTAGGCATCCAACTCTCTTCAAATTTCACACATCTAAACATTTTTGCTAACGCAAAATCTGTAGTGAAAACGATAGATATCTGCCAACCCATTATGTTACCTCAACCACAAAGGCTTACAATTTCCATTACTTGTATCTGTCATAACTTGCGAAGCAAGTCGGCGATTTTATGCAACCTGCTATATCTAAATATTTCCCTTAGCCAAAAATCTGATATGTATATGTAATTCATCGAATTGGACAATATTGGCCAAATGCTTGGATACAAATTTAGAATAATCATAACTCAAGGCTGAGGTTTATAAATCTGTTGGCAAACTGACTGATAATATTTAACTTCTTTTATTTTTTTTCAGTCCAGCTGGTTAATCTATGATTCACTATATCCATGAATGATATGCCTCTTTATTATGTAAAAAACCAGTAGAGAAAGTCTGAAAGTCGGGCGGGGCCTACTTTATGATACCCTACACCACTTTGCTAATTTAGTTGAGCTCCACATAACAATTAAAAGTTTTTATGGGAGAATTCAATCATAGACGCTATGATTATAATTATAATTTAAAGTTGAAAGGACTAAATATGCCGAAGCATTTGTATCTTTTAAATTCGGACTTGTATTGCCCATTTGGTGCACAATTAATTTGAAATCGGATAAAGATATATATGGGAGCTATATCCAAATCTGAACCGATCTCGATAAAATTTGGCAAAGATATTTCTGAGCTGTATGTGATATATTTCCCTGAATATCGTTGTTACGGAGTGCATATTACGGCTGTGGGTAACACATATAACAAAGTGGATGAACAGTATATATGGGAGCTATAACTATATCTGAACCGATCTCCACCAAATTTGACATACTAGCTTCTAGACTCAATTCGGTCGTAAGTGCCAAATTTTATCCCATTTGGGTAAATATTAGACGTTTGGTGCACAATCCAAGGTAAATCGGACGAAGTTATAAATGCTTTATCCAAATCTGAACCGATCTCGATAAAATTTAGCAAATGTGTTTCTAAGCTGTATTTGATATATTTCCCCAAATATTGTTGTTACAGAGTGCATATAACGGCTGCGGAGGACAAAAATAACAAATCGGATGAACAATATATATGGGAGCTATAGCTATATCTAAACCGATTTCGATCAAATTTGCCATACTTATTTTCAGGCCTAATTTGGTTGTATGTGCAAAATTCCATACTATTCGGGCTGATATTACACGTTTGGTGCACAATAAAAGGCAAATCGGACGAAGATATATATGGGAGCTATATCTAAATTTTGACCGATTATCTACAATTTCAATAGGGTTCGTCCTTGGGCCACACAAATGATTTGTGCAAAATTTCATCTGGATCGGGAAATAAATGCGACCTGCATTTTGTTTACAAAAATACATGGACAGACGGACGGACATGCATAAATCGACTCAGAATGTGATTCTATGCAGATCATCAAAAGGAACTATGGGTCTATCTCGTTTTCTTTTGCCTGTTACTAACAAATGCACAAAGACATAATACCCTAACCACCTTGTGGTGTAGGGTATAATAAAATATAATATTTTGGCGCCCAAGTGTTGTATCTTCAAGGTCGAAAAATTAGGCATAAACAGATCCCCTTAATCTTACATTTTCCATGTTACACTTCCCTCGGTTCCCGTTTGAAAAGCTAATGTTCTACTGGACTTTTTACAAGAATGCATTTTTCTTCATGTTTAAATCGTGTGTCTAAGTGAATATACCCACCACGCTATGTAGAGTGAACATAATTTGTTTTGTTGGACTAAGTTGATTTTCTGGAAAATGCAATTTCCTCAATTGGTCTTTCGGCTTTAGAAAACGTCACATCATTATTCTGGGAAGGTATTCAGTTTTCCCACATTAAAATTCATGGGATTTTTGAAGACTCTTCATTTTTTTTTTTTATTAAAATTGTTTATTGTGGAATTTTTTCACAGTGATGGCCCGAAAATGAAATACGCACTATAATTACAGTTATATCCATATGCATACGCACACACACACATATAATTGCCTTCACTACATGGTAGTTATCTTCGCACACACAAAACATGTAAACATTTAGGCCTGATTTATAAAAAGTGGGGGGCTTTCAAGCCATCATTGTTGTTGTTGTTTGTTGTTGTTATTTTGGCAAACACACAGTCGTCACTCACTTTTGAAGCTTTGCTTCAAATTCCAAACGCACAACACACCTTGCATAGGTGTTGGTTCGTTCGGCTGCTGCTGTCGTTGTTGTCTTGTCACCGCACTCCTCCAACGAAAAACCCAAACAAATCCGAAACACACACACACAGCGAAGCTCAGTGATGCACACACACACGAACACGAATGGCCGTAAAAACAACAGCAAAAACACGTCAATAATTCGCGATCTATCCAAAAAATAAAACCAATGCGGACTGTGACTGACAGGTTCGTTTGTTGGTTCGGCGATTAACTCTTTTTTTGCGTTTTTGGACGATGGCACGAGACGGGACGGGAGGAGAAACGAGCCAACGAAACCTATAATAATGGTACACTTGCTAATTTCTTTATGTTGTTGTGGTTGTTGTTGCAGATTAAAAACAAGTTAATTCTTTGTTTTTGCTATTGTTGTTGTTGTTTGTTTTGAATATTTTTTTATTTTTTAAAAATAAATCAATTATTCGTCTTCGATTTTTTCAAGCCGTCACTGATTTCTTTTCATTTTCATAGTTCAACGAAGACTAAAGGCAAGCGACACCGAGCAAAAGAAGAATAAGATGTACCAGGCTCAAAAGAGAGAGAAATGAAGCCACCAATCTGAGATCTTTCGATTTAGCCCAGCGTGTGTCCAACGAGAATTGAATACCAAATATTGGCTTAGAACGTAAAGTCCGTAAAATGTTAATTAATTGCCGATCATCAAAATCGATGGGACCACAAAATGAAAGCACTCTCCCACGCGCGCGTTCTCACTCTCGTTCTCTCTTTTTTCCGCTAATATCGTCTCATTGCAGGAGAGCGCGCCTAGAGTAAACGTTCCGAAAACAAATAAATAGAAGATGCGAGCCGCTGCTTTGTATTGGAAACTTTTCGCGTTTACTGCTGTCACTGGAGTGGATCAAGTTGATCAAGCGCAACCTCAGCTAAGCCTGAGCCAGAAGAGCGAGTCATACTACTTTACACAAAAAAGATACAATGCTGCAGCAACAACAACAACAATGCCAACGAGAGGAATAATAACGATAGGCAGCAACAATCGCCATCTGCTCACAACAACAACAAGAACAACTACAGCAACAAATAAACAAATCAGAAAAACGGCACACGATTGTCGTGTTTCGTGTTGTAGTTGTTGTTGTTGCTGTCGTTGGCTTTGTCCAATTGGCATTTGTGTCTGTACGATGATGATAATGGCAAATATGTTTGGCTGGAGCAGAACTTTATACGAGGTCCACAATTGACATTTAGCTAAGAGGACACTTTGGTGGGCTACAATAATTGGGTTCTAGGGGTTTAGCTCATGGTAGAATTAAGAAGGTTGCTTGGTGCGATCATATGTTTATAATATTTTCAAAATTATACCTCAGTTAGATACAACATTTTATCAGGATTAACCGATATTATCAGGATTTATTGCTTCATCTGAATTTATTTAGCCAGGTTTATATACAGGATGAGATGTTAAAACTGCAACCAACTTCAGACTGTTGTCATTTCTAAGTCACTCGTCCGAAGACTGTTAAAATTATTTCAGTGACAGCTCATTATAATGTTTCCAAGCGTACAAAAGCATTTTGGTTAGAATTTTCCAGGAAAAAAAGTTGTTCGTGATGGAATTCAAGCGTGATAGTGAGATTTATTTATATTTGGCTGGAAAACCACAAGTGGCTATCGTTAGAGCACTCCAGCATTTAAATGTGAATAAATCTTTTGTGTCTGGCACCATCGCTTGTTAGCGAGATACTGGTAGCGTAGCCCGTCGTCAAGGAAGTAGAAGGAAGAAAACAGCAACAGCAGCAGAAATGGTTTGAAAAGTAAATAAGCGACTTGGTCGAAACCCTCGTCGCAGTGGCCGAAAAATGATCTAAACATATCGCAATATTCCATTTGCCAAATATTGAAAAATTAGCTCAGGGTAAAGCCATTGAAATTCCAAAAAGTGCAAGAACTTACACCTCAACAGAAAGAAAATAGACTCAAAAGAGCTAAATAGATGCTTCGCTTGGCCGAAGGTGGTGAACTGCCGAATTTGGTTTACTGCGATTAGAAATCATTCGTTGTCCAGCAGTTTGTAAACAAACAAAATGATCGTGTTTACTTGCCAAAGAGGTCAGCTGAAAATGTGCACCTTCGGTTGGCCACCAGAACTCAAGCGCCGTCCATGGTGATGGTGTGGGCCGCCATAACAGCCGATGGTCGCTCTCCGCTCGTATTGATCGACCGTGGCACGCAAACATTTTGGCCAAAGACCATTGCACTCAGCGCGCGCCTCCCAAGAATGGTCACAAAATGAGGTTCATCGCTTCATTTTCAGCACACAATGGCCACCAAAATCTCCGGATACCAATCCGTTGGACCATTGTGTCTGGAGTATTTTGGAAAGCAAGGTTCGCACTAAAAAATACCAAAGTGTCGATCAACTCAAGCAAGCGCTTCGCCGTGAATGGGTCAAAATACCACAGAGCAACATTCGGGCAGCTTGTGACGGTTTCATTGGCCGTTTGAAGGCCATAATTCGTGCCAAATGTGACCGATTCGAACAAATCTAAACTTATTCTAAAATTTGATGCTATTTCGGATATTTTGGGCTTTCCTTCAATAGAATTTAAAAAAAAATGTGAAAATTATGGCGTTGAACTTTGTGGCAGATTTTTTATCTCCCACTGTATTCTTTATCCGATTTGCACATCCGTAATATTCCCTACGTAACAACGATTGTAAAAGGGCGAGAAAAGATAACCACCCGAATGGTTTGGCTGTTGATTCAATTCTGATTTTATTTTTAAAATATGTTCCTTACGTACTACTGAAACTAATCTAACTTAACCTAGTCGCAGCCACACAATTGTTCTTATCTATTCTAATATTGAATGGAGAACATTGCAGGACTGCTTGACATCTCATTCAAGTGGTCTTGTGTCATAACCTTTATTATCACGCATTATCGTATGCGTCAGCGCAAAAGATCACCGAATTCTTCACATGTGATATTTTATGGCGGCTGGGAAATATTTAATTTTAGAACATTTATTTTTTATTGCTACATTTTCCCAGCGCCTCAAAAGTATGTACAACGATAATCGGAGAAGTATATCAAATACTGCTCAGAAATACTTTTGCCAAATTCTATGGAAATCGTTTCAGATTTGGATATAGTTCCCACATATATCTTTACTCGATTTCAAGATAATTGTGCCCCAAATGGTTAATGTAAGCCCGAATTGAAAATGGGTTAAGATATAGCTATAGGTACTACATATATGTCTCATCCGTAAAATACCCTCTACAACAATGATCTTTGGTGGCAACTATCACATACAGGATAGAAATACTACTGCTAAAGAGATCGGTTCAGATTTGGATATGTATTGCTTCATCCGATTTCATGTTTATTGTGCCTAAAAAGTGTAATATCAGCTATGAATGGATTTTGATGAATATTGATTCAAACACAAATGCCTCCGCCAAATTTAGTAAGATACGATAGGAGCCTGTCATATATTAGTTCCTTTCGGCTTCAAATTATAACTGCTTGTATGTTTTTGTATTTTTATACCCTCCACCATATATAGTATTATCATCGAAATAATATTTTTAGACCCAACAAAGTATATATATGCTTGATCAGCCTAAAATTCTAAGACGATTTAGCCCTGTCCGACCGTCCGTCCGTCTGTTGTTTTCAGGCTTCGGTCAAAACGAATTAAGATAGGAAGCTAAAATTTTGCACTGATCTGTCTGTCGTATAGCGTATAGCGCCATATAACGGTACCCCCGATATTCGGTATTTTGATGATTTTAGCCTCCTTTTTTAATGGAATTGTCTGAAATTCTACACAAGGAGTTCTTCGTGACTACATAAATGGATGAAAAAGAATTGTCTACATACGTCTGCGATATCGTATATCCCCCATATAACCATACGGCATTTTTATGAATTTAGCCAGATTTTTTACTTTACTTTATCCCCTGAAAGGGAATTTTCTATATAGGTCCACGATATCGTAAAGCCCCCGATATTCGGTATTTAAATGATTTTAGCCACATTTTATAATAGTAATAATTTAGGAATAGTCTGAAAATCCACATAAGGAGTTCTCTCTGAGTAATTTTGCCTCTGGAAGAGAATTGTCTATATAGGTCTACGTTTTAGTATAGCACCCATATAACAATACCCCGAGATATTCGGTATTTCCAGGATTTTCGCAACATTATTCATCAGTACTACAATCTTCATGGGTACTACAATCTATGACGGAAAATTGTCTATGCTGGTCCACGTTTTAATATAGCCCCCATGCAACGGTACCTCACTTTATTCGATATTTTGATGATATTAGAGACATTATTCACCGGAATTGACAGAAAAATACTTATCCAGCACCACGTCTTCGTATATTTTATTTGAGCGGTATTTTTTTCTTTTTTTGAAATTTTCAAGTTTCTTCCGAATGGTATAAAAAATTCGGTCCGAGCGAACTTAGCTGCTTTTTTACTTGTTTAATAATATGATCCTTATCGAGGACATATCACTATACAGCAAAGGTACTAGAGGTACAAAAGCCCACGTTTAGTTCGTTGAACATCGAGTCAGAGTTGGATGTAACTCCCAAACTGTTAGCATTCTATAGCCATGATACGAATTCAAATAAGGTTCATTGTTGATAAGGTCTACTTCATATAAATTCCCAATATAGGTTTTTGGTTTTTGTTACGGGAGCTCTACTAAATACGCATAGTGGTGTAGGCTATGATATAGTCGGCCCCGTCCGACTTTTGACCTTTCTTTATGGTTAAATCGTACATGACTTATCAGAGTCATATTTGAGCTTTCTGTTTTAGAGTATATTCTTCTTTAACTTTTATACCCTCTAAGAGACGTAAAAATAACAAATTATTTGGTCGGAGATAAATGCAAATTTCTTGCTAGCTGTCGTATTTAAGGAAAAACTCTTTATTTCAGCATAAAAAGCCCGTCAGACAGGTTTCTAAGAGAACCTGTACCTGTAGAGCGACTATACATTAAAGAAAATTGCATTTTGGTCCATTTTAGCACCTAAATGTACAACCTCAAACACAATAGCCTCCAATTTTGACCATAACCCTACCCCTTATGAAAAATTTCATGAGGATCGGACATAAGTGTGACCTGTACATAATACCCTAGACATATAGGGTTGTAGGCTGCAAACGAATTTTCAAATTGTGCAATTCAATAACATTCTATATCGATTTAACAAAGTCCGTCCGTCTATGGAAATCACTTAAGCTTCCGAACGAAATGAAGTAGTTGATAAAAATTTACTCAAATGTGTATTATGTCTGCAGGACTTTTGGTATTAAAAATGGGCCATGTAGATCCACATCTTCGTAAAGCCCCCATATAACGGTACCTCCCGATATGTGGTATTTTTATGATTTAGCGACATTACTTACCGGAACTATTTCAAATTTAGTATTTGAAGTTCGTAATGAATACTACAGCCTAAGACAGAAAATTGTCTGTGCAGGTCCACGTCTTCGTATAGCCCCCATATAACGGTACCCTCGATATACGGAATTTTGATGATTTTAGTGACATTATTTAACGGAATTGTTTCAAATTTTGTATTTGAAGTTCGTAATGGATACTACAGCCTAAGACAGAACATTGTCTGTGCAGGCTTATGACAAAAGTTGCGTATGCAGGTCCACGTCGTCATATAGACCCTAGCCTAATAAATAGGCTACATTCGGTATTTTTAAGATTTTAACAGAATTTTTACCAAATGGTGGAGGGTATTCAACGTTCGGCACGGCCGAACTTACAGCTTTTTTACTTATTTTACTTAAAAGTTTACGTTAAATATTGTCCTCTGACCATCCGAATTGTTAGGCTTCTGGCCAGACTTAAATTATAGCTTCATACTAAATTCCGTTTCCAAGCCGAAATTATAGGCTTGTGAATCAATTGGATAAAATTTTGGATAAAATATAATTTGATTTCCTTCGCTTTTTTTGAATAACCTAAAGGTGAGAATACATAAAACGCTTCTGACTGGCTTTTTCGATTAGGAGTTTTAGGTTGACTTAGTTCGATTTTGTTCTTTTCCGAAGAAGCCAGTCAAAAAAGCGTTTTATGTACTCTCGCCTTCAGTTCTTTAACAATGAAGTCAGGCTATGACTTATGTCAGTAAAATGAAGCCTTTTATAATTCTACCTTTAGACTTTTTACTGAGGATTTGTACAAATTATTAAATTATCGTATACCTCTATTATCATAACTTCCAGAGCACACCTCGTTATTTATCTTATCCACTATTGTCTAGCATATGCTAAACTGGTGTGAGCCAGAAATTGTTGTTGGTAAAGTTGTTATTTTAGTTCGACCAAACACGATCGCAAACTACTACCACAATCGAAAGGTAAACAATATTTTGTCATCCAATATTTTAGTAAAAACCCAGAGGAGCAAATCGGGACCCACATATATTTTTTTTAATTTTAGCCAGATTTAGAATTTTCAATATTTTTGGCTATAGATACGAATTTTGATATGAGTTCGTAAATGTCAAGTCTCCAGTTATTTTGAACGTCGAATACACTTACCGTTATAACCTGGCAAATATATTGAGATATGGAAAAAATTGAAACTTCATTTACATGCGATTTTTTTTTGTAAACGAGTTTCATTAGTAGCCATGACTCTTTTGCGTGGACTCATAAATCATTTTCTGAAGTTTATCCCCCACTGACCGTTATTCGTTCATACGCTATATTCGTTGAATTTATTAATATTTAAATATTCATTTTAAACTTCAGCTATGAACCCCGGCCGTAGAAAAATATCATCGTCACACGAAGCTAAAACAAAAAAGCAAAAACAGAACACTCCGCGCTGGTTGTTCACTCTCGTTCTCTGCCAATATTAAGTATCTCTCAAATATAATAATGGCAGCCCACTGGAGAGTCATTAAAATCTAATCATGTGTGTCTACGGAATGTATCCAAAGAAAAACACTTGACCAGATATTTTACAAATACAACCATACATACGTGTGCAACGTGTTTGTGGGGAGATGAAACGGCACCAAACCTCACTTCAACCAAAACAAGCTCGTAATACCGGCTCTCTTTGAAAACGAACCTGTTGTACATTCGTTTGCAAAAAAAGCGCACACACGATTTAACTACGAAACGACATGGAATTATGTATGCTCTTAGCTTTCATTGGCTTTAAAGTTCTCTTATTTTATTTGGGTTTAGTAAGAGATTTGGTCATTATACCAACATCTCTCTATGATAGATTGAGTATTCATGGGTCTTGCGAAAAATGTTATGGACATAGAAATTCTACAATATTATGTCGGTAAATTGTAATTCTAAAGTCCAGCAGCTTTGCAACTCTTGCCTTGAAACAGCACAGTTTTACTAGTTTTGAGATGTTTTCCTTGGAGATTGGAAAATAGATTATTTAAGGCTTATTTGTTTCGATAGGATATTTGTTTCGATAGGATATTGACTGCAATTATAGCAGTGGACATATTTGGGCAGGCGCAATGGATGATTTTTAAAAGAGCCACGTTCTTCGCATTACTTTGCCTATAATCAGCACTGCTCAAAATCGTGTGCTAGCACACGAGTCCGAAAAAGAGATTATTTGAGAGATGAAAAAACTGCAACCAATTTCAGACTGCTGTCATTTCTAAGCCACTCCGGCAGCTGTTAAAATTATTCCAGTGACAGCTCATTATATTGTTTACAAGCGTACAAAAGCATTTTGGTGAGAATTTTCCAGAAAAGCAGTTATTCGTGGTGAAATTCAAGCGTGATATCTTTATATTTGGCTGGAAAACCACAAGTGGCTATCGTTAGAGCACTCCAGCATTTAAATGTGAATAAATCTTTTGTGTCCCGTACTATCGCTCGTTACCGTGATGTTGGTAGCGTAGCCTGACGTCAAGGAAGTTTACGGAGGAAAACAGGAACCTCAACAAAAATGGTTCGAAATGTAAAGAAGCGACTTGATCGAAACCCGCGTTGCAGTGTCCGAAAAATGGTTTATGAGCTGAACATATCGCAATATTCCATTCGACAAATATTGAAAAATGAGCTCGGGGTAAAGCCATTTAAATTCCAAAAAGTGCAAGAACTTACACCGCAACAGAAAGAAAATAGACTCAAAAGAGCTAAAGAGATGCTTCGCTTGGCCGAAAGTGGTGAACTGCCGAATTTAGTTTTCTCCGAAGAGAAAACATTCATTGTCCAGCAGTTTGTAAAAAAACAAAACGAACGTGTTTTCTTGCCACAGAGGTCAGCTGAAAATGTTCACCTTTTGTTGGCCACCATAACTCAAGCACCGGCCTGATGATGGTGTGGTCCGCAATAACAGCCGATGGTCGCTCTCCGCTCGTATTAATCGACCGTGGCATCAGAATAAATGCCGAATATTATCGCGAAAATATTCTGGAGGGTTTATTAAACCCTTGGGCACGCAAACATTTTGGCCGCAGACCTTGGACATTCCAACAGGACTCAGCACCATCGCACTCAGCAAGCGAAAATGTTCACCAAACCACCTTTACACAATTTTTCGAAGAAGCGCGCTATGAACTTTCTTTGCAGTGTACGCATTCTGATAATAAAATCAATGATTTGCAAGCTTTGTTCGTTTTTAAGACGATTCATAGTTAAATTATAGACCAAACTGTGACAGTGAAAACAAGTAAAAAAGCAACTAAGATCGACCGGGATCTTTTAATACCATCCACCATTTTGAAGGAAATTGAAAAATTAAAAAAAAAAAACGGAGAAAAAACCTCTCAAATTATAACCCTTATATGTGGGCTATACGAAGACTTCTACCTTTGTGAGTAACTTTTTTGTCATTGGCTGTAGTACCCACTACAAATTTCAATTATGAAATTTGAAATAATTCTGGCAAAAAATGCCTTAGCATGTTAGAGGGTATAAAATGACGAAACGTGTGTGTGCTGTTTAAAGCAGTGTTGCCAATAAGATAATAGCTAAAAATCACCCTTTACTTCATATAGTATAGCGTTTCTTTAAAGTTTAGTTTATAAATATAAACAAGTAATGAAACAGTTAAGTTCGGTCGGACCGAATTTTTTATACCCTGCACAATTTGGAAAGTAACCCAAGTAAAAATATGTCTGTAAATGCCGAAACTGCAGTATTCGAGGGGTGTGCGTCACTTATTGGGAACTCGAGATTTATTGTGAATATCGACCCTCTCCCTTTGATACCTCACTTACAAGGGGTCAAAATTTTATATAAGTCAAGTGCCAAAATTAGAAAATAATTGGTCGATGTTTCTTCTGATTCCGCACAATGCACTACCTTCATCGACATTATTTCTATTGGGAATATGGAATTCATCGCCCATTCTTTTAGGTACCTCCCCCACAAAGGGTAAAATAATAATACTTCTACACACCATAGATTTAATGTAAATATGGAATATATCGGACCACTCCTTCTGGTTAATAACAATGAATTTTAGTATTCGCTTTTTAGATTGATTAAAATTTTGGTAGAAACAACTAGGATCCATATTTAGTTGTTTTTGTAGCAATTTTTAATTAAACAAGCTGTAATATACATATTTAAATTCATTTCAATCGAAATTTTAAATCGTAATAAGTTCAGTTTCTTTCCTATCGCTAATTGTTCTCCATCCTTGAACATAATGTTACAAAACCATGCCACATCTGTATTCCTTTCCCTGGACTGAGCTCAGAGTCTAAGGGGTGTGTTTAGTTTTCTAATGCAATCCGATGCAGATCAGATCCTATGTAAGATACGCCTAATGTTTTAAAACATGGGCATTTTGAAGAATATTTTCGTCGACATATGTTTCCAAATTATTGTGTAGTACTTTCTCTCGTAGTGGTTTTTCAAACCATTAACTTTAAATGCAAATATGCCAAACTGACAATTTCCGTCGAGTTCCATAGATCTTCTTATTTCTTTGTTAACTAGAATAGAATTTTATATTTTTCAACATGAATTCTTTGGATATTCTACATATAATTATTATATTATTAAGTATTACCAAAACAGAATAGAATTAATACCACAAAACTGAAATTAATCAAATGACATACATGCTAATATAGTTTATAACACTAAAGAAATCGTTATTTAGGAAGGCAGGAAATGAATATGTATCGAACATCATCAATTTGAATGAATTGAAATAATTTAATTCAAATTGAAATTTTTCATTATTTGAGCTGCAACTTCGTTTGAAGCAGTATCGCCTTTGAGAAAGTTTACGATTTCAGAGAGAGCTAAAATGATACAAATTGTTCAAATAAATTTATTTGAATTTATTTTATTTTGTACCTACCTTTACGTTCCTCATTGGACATAAGCAGAGACAAAATGGGTACCTGGTTATTTTTACTGACTTCTAGCAGAGTTTTGGCCAAAACGTTTTCTTTTGCCGGCAAATAGAAATCGTGTAATGTACGTATGACATCGGTAAGGGTATCCGAGTCAAAGCCGGCACCAAGAATTTTGCCCAGGTGATTGGGGTTAATACTCTTTAAATATTCATATTTATGTTGAGGTGATAACTCCTTCCAGTTTGAATAAAATTGAGCAGTGGATTTGGGAGACTCGGGCAGAGGACGCTGAAAAATTAGATTATTATTACTAAGCTTTATTTGAAAACCTCTCGTTACTCACATTATGTTTGATGTTTTCAACAACATTTGTTGTTGTCGCTGCTGCTCCTGATTTTTTAACACTGGCTATTTTATTGGAATCTTGTTCTTTGGCCTCAACAGTTTTCTTTACAGCATCAGCTTCTTTGCTGTTTGCCTTTTCTTTTTTAACATCTTGTGTGACTGTTTTCTTAACAGCAACATTCTCTTTGTTCTCATTGATTTTGGTATTTTCCTTGTTATCTACCACAGGTTGTACTTGTTTGGCTGCACTCTCTTTGGCTTTGAGTCTTTCTTCGGGATTTTTCACCTCTTTAAAGTAACCACAATTACTATTGAAAATTTTATCGATATCTTCATCAGAGATCTGTAGGTTTTCATGATTTTTACTTTCTTTGGGACCAACAACATCAGCAATAGCAATACGTTTTAAAGGTTTCGTTGAACGTTTGTAGGCTGGCTTATCGATTGGTAGAATGTCAACTACATTGTTGCGCAAACTGGTGAAATTGGGACCTTTGGAGTTTTTGGCTAGTGAAAAAGAAAATTAATTAGTTCTCGGCAGCATCAAACATGTGAATATATTTACCATTTTTCCTCAATCTTTCATTAATTCTTTCCAGACTACGATTTGCTTCACTGTTTTTCGGCTCAATCATAAGTACGGTGGTACAATCCTTAAGGGCATCCATATTATTGCCCAACGATTCATTGGCCAACATACGTCGGTAGTAGGCTTTTACAGCTAAGTTGTCGATATCTGTTGCCCGGTCACAATCATCGATGCATTCATCATATCTGAGAAAGTTAAGGAGTTTATATTAAAAACAAGTTAAAAAAACTAAGTTCGGACGGGCCGAACTTTGAATACCATCAACCATTTGCAACGAATTTTGGCAATTTTCAAAAAAATAAAATCCGTTAAAAATAAAATGTTAAAATATTAAAAATACCGAATGTAGCCGCTATATTAGGGTCTATACGACGACGTGCACCTGCAAAGCCATTACAATATTCAAATGTGAAACTTGAAAAAAAAAATCGATAAATAATGTAGCTAAAATCATTAAAATACCGAATATAGGGAGGTAACATTATATGGGGCTATACCAAAACGTGGCCCAGCAAAGACAATTTTCTGTCATAAGCTGTAGTATCCATTACGAACTTCAGATACCAAATTTGAAATAATTTCAGTGAATAATGTCGCTAAAATTATCAAAATACCGAATATCGGGAAGTGCCGTTATATGGGGGCTACGCAAAGACGTGGAACTGCACAAAGAATTTTCTGTCGTAGGCTGTATTATCCATTACGAACTTAAATGCCAAGTTTAAAACATTCCCGGTGAATAATATCGCTTAAATCACCAAAATACCGAATATCGGGAAGTACCATTATATAGGACTATATAAGAACGTAGACCTACATGACCCAATTTCAAAATCAAAAGTCCTGCAGACGTAATACACACTTGAGTAAAATTTTATCATTTCTTTCAAAAGCTAAAGTGATTTAAAGAGAGGGACATAAAATTTTATTTTTTTACGAGTTGTTACAAATCCGCTGCAAAAGACCGCCAGGAAAGACTGAAGAGATAATGGACAATAACCGCCTGGTATTAAAATATCTCAATGTCCACCACAAGCTGTGTAGTCCATATATATGCCTGATGATCGAATAGCGAAGAGAGACCAAACTTTAAGCAGTTTAGAAAATCACATTGCAGGGCAAACGTTTTGGCGAGGTCTCAAGATTTGCAACTTTGGAATGGATCGGGAACATTTTAAAAATATATTATATTGATTACTGGGAAAAAGAAAGACAAGACCGACTAGAATTTGTCTCCTATTTGATAAGATGGGACATCTGCATGGTAGATGTTCAATCGTGACTACCTCTTCCCCATCTTCAAATAGTCGACAATTGTCTGGGCCACTGACCTCTGGTCAAATAGTTTTCCTATTTCGAAGTTAGATATCTAATACTGCAGTGGCGAGTCAATATGCCTACAACAATTCTTAGATGAAACCTGCTAATTGATAGTAGGGATCAGGTTCTTCTTCTCGAGATCACCGACCTTTTTCTACGACAAGAGCCTATTTGAAGCAGCTGACGTAATATCGTATTGGTGGCTTAACAGTCTCATCAATCGGCACATTTATCGTCTGAGAATTACCTCGAGTTGATTCATCAATGATTTCATTCTCACTATGTTGCAATGTCCTGGGACCCAACAAAGTTTAATGAAATTATACTCGAATTAATAGAGCTTGAAATAATAGCTTCCAGGGTCATCTGATCAACGACACTGGTCCTGTTATGCTATTGCACAATTCGGCTGTAGTGTAAATGGCAAGAGTTTGTCCCTAAAAAGTGGTATCATCAGCATCTAATTATTCTATTAGGATAGAATACGTCTGCTACGTATTTATGGTCAGGCCGTCCAGAGGAGATTCACCTAAAACCCAGGCGTACTTATCAATTATCGTTACGTCAATGTAATTGAAGTCTAAAAAGTGTATATTCCGACTTATTGGCATGTCCAGGATTTGTGCATGACTTAATGGGGTATCAACTTAATTTTTGTTGATTGAAACTGAGACAAAGGTCAAATACCGAAATTAGTAATTATGCGAAAAAATATGTGGGCCGACGAAACCAAAAGTTGCTGATGCGAGATAATACCCCCGGACCTCCATCACAACTCCATCTTTCAGGAATTCTACAATGTTAAAATCATCGATATTGCGGCCTTCTTTGGTGTGGGGAACATGCAGACATCTATTACAACATACTGATCGATTTGACCAATAATTTAATTACCAAAACAAATCCTAGGTATTAAATTATACAGCATGTCTAAGTAGTTCGCCCAAGGCATATATATCTGCTAACAAGTTGTTTATGGCCTGGCTTTACCTATTTAAACTTCAGAGCAGTTAGATAGATTAAAATTAGCAATAAATTGTAAGTTGACATTCTTATCGAGAAAGGTTAATTCTGATATAGTTTTATATTCTTTATGACACTCTGCAAGATTGGAAAGGTTTGCACATCATAGATTCTATAATTTCCATAGGCTTTCAAGATTTTGTTGAAAGTATTTTATATAATACTTCCTTCCAAAGAATCCAGACTTATGCGGTGTTAACTTCATAAGGTCCTCTGTACATCAAAGATTCGTATATGTGTGGAAAAGATTTTATATAAGATTCTTTTCTGTAGCTTCCAGTGGTTTTCTAGATATTCTAGAACTTCTAGATGTATTCAGTATACGACATCTTTCGGGAGTTTTTCTGTGCATATGAAGCCTTCTAAAAGTAAAACGAATTGGATAGCTGCTACATGTATATAGAAGTTATAATAGGGGCATAGAAGATTATAGAATTCTTCCAGATTGACAAAAATTTCATTTTTTCAATATGTTGAAAATCTGCTCGAGTTCTCTCATTTTTTATACCCTCCGCCTTAAAAAGGAGGGTTTATTGACTTTGCCTTTCCGCTCGTAACATCCCCAAATATTCGCCGTAGAACCCATAAAATGTATATATTCATAATCAGCATAAAATTCGAAGTTGATTTAACGAGTCCGTCTTTTGGAATCACGACACAGCCCACATTATTTGATGTAGAGCTTCAAAATTTGGTAGAAGAATTTGTATCGTGTCTAGAATGGTTGGTTTTGAAAATGAGATACATCGGTCCACGTTTTGATATAGGCGCCATATAACGGTACCTAACGATATTCGGTATTTTGATCATTTTCGCCACATTTTGTCACCGATTTGTCTATAAATTGGTGTATGTAGGTCAAAGTGGGTTCAGTTTAACAGCATTATCCAAACGGTCTTACTGGCATTTGTAGTATAAAGTGGCACGCTTATGAATTCAGATACTTTTATATAAAAATGTTTTCTTTATCCAAAGGTGGAGCGTATAAAGTTCAGCCCGGCCGATCTTAATGTTTTTTTGCTTGTTTTATTTATCTTATTCGCATAGGGGAATTCGTGAAAGCCTTATTAAGTACAAAACCTCTTGTGTGTGTTTCTTAAAAATGTAACTTTTGCAACGCATTCAGTTAGTAAATGACTAATAGAGGAATTCTAAATATAGATTCCTTTGGGTGTTATTTTTATACATAGAAAACCATATACAAATCTGTTATTTTATATAAAATATTTTGTACAGATATTTTTGGAAGCGTTTTTTTACCGGCAAAACCATTTTGATATTTACTGTGCATAAGACTTCTAATTACTTTCATACATCGGTTTATCGTATGTAAAATAATGTTCTGGAAAGATCTCAATTTAAATTTCCTGGTGCAAAAAACCCTGGCAAACACCTTTTTGAATTCTATAATGGTCGCCCTCAGATTAGAATATTAAAAGATAATTATTCTAAATTCCTTTTTTATCATAACGTCAATCAGTTGTTGAATTTTGGTTGTTTCCTTTTTATCTATCGTGTTTCCTTTGTTCTTCACCGTGCTATTCTAATCAACACGTGACCATGGCAATAATGACAATAATATAAAATGTTCATAAAAATACACCTCACCTTTCCAATTTCAAATAGCACAACGCCCTATTACAATAGTAGATGGCATCGTTGGGAAACAATTCAATTGCCTTATTGTACTCCTCAATGGCCATGTCATATTGACCCAGTTTAACAAAGCTGTTGCCACGATCTTTGATTTCATTGGCCTCCTTGTGTTTCAAGGCCATGGGGTCCAGGGTGGTATCCACTTTTTCCGTTGGTGATTCCAATGACTGTTGCCTGGCCTTACTGCTTGATAAATCGTTTAGTTGCTGTTGTGCCGCATCTTTATTCGAGGCCTGCTCTGTGATGTGACTACGCGGCTGGGGCATGGTGTTTAGCTAAGGAAATGATTATCAATAAAAGTCCTTTCAATTTCTCACATAACTTACAATTTTATTGTCTCCATTTTCAACCGGAGCCGCAGTGCTCTGCATTTTCTTTTCCTTATCCTTGATTTCCTTCTCCCAGCTATACAAGTCATTCATGGCATTTTTAATCTCTTCGGCATTCTGTCGCACCTGGTTGGTGATTTCAAATGACTTGCGGGCTGCTTCCATTGCTGTTTGTATTTTCTTGTTGGACTTTGTTTTTTTCTTTCTTTCTTAAGTTTCTTTGTGCAAAAATAATGAATAATGCTGTTTGGGTCTTGTAACAACGTTTTATTTATTTTTTCGCGGAACTATGGAACGTTCAATTGGTTCGGTTGTCAAAACAAATTAGTATCGTTCAGAAGTGAACTAGTTCACGGGAACTGTTCCGTGAAGTGAATAAACATGATACACTTATGACATGTTCTCAACAGCATTCGCACGAGAAATATAGGAATAAGATGCGGTTCATACACAAAACAACTATTGCACAGGGTAACTCATGGTAGAAGAATATAGGTAGACGCAGCTGTTGGGACAATGAACTGTCAAACCAATTTTGGAATTAAAAATGTTTGAATGAAAATGTATTTAAATTTGTAAAAATTGTTGAAAAATGCATATCTTTACAACCCACGATTTGTGTCGTATAAGAAAACATATAAAAATCTACTTATATTTGAAAAGAAATTTAAAATTTTTTGACATATCAATGCTCCCAAGCTTTGATGCATCTATCCTGTATTTTTCTACCATGGGGTAACTGCAAAACCAGTTCATTTTATTTATTCTAATTCTTTGTGTTTTAAAATACCTAGCCATGGTACAACCAAATCGGTAGTTTAACTGCAAAGGAAATCGGGCATTGAGAGGTATGATCCAAGATTAATAATGTTTGCAGTTCTTGATGTAGGGATTTTTTTAGATCCAAACACTAAAATCAGTTGCGATGAATTAAAAAATTCAAGAGAAAGCGATGAAAATAGTCTTAAGTTACCGGCCATGGTAGAAGAATGCAGGTAGTTGCATCGACACAGCTGCTGGGACAATGATCCAATTTTGGAATTGAAAATTTACAATAAAAAAATTATTGAAATTTGTAAAATCTTTTGAAAAATTCATGTAATAATAAGCTCCCGTTGGCTACGTATAAGACAAGAAACCATATAAAAATCTGCTTATTTTTTACAAAAAAATAAAAAAAAAAACATGTTAAAAAGTATCAGTCGGACTTACAGACATATGTATACCCTCAGTTATGATTACTCAAGTTGTTGACCATCTATGGAGTAGGTTCCGAACGAATGGACCAATAATGTCCATTTCGTATCGGACCAAAATAAATACCACATAATTAAACATTTTGACAATTTGTGGTTATTTAAAAGTAGCGATGTCCGTCCGTCTGTATGTCTGGCTGGTGCGCACGATAACTCTCGAAGGAAGTATCCGATTTGGTCCAAACATGGTACATTCTAATATTTTTGTCAAACTTAGATCGAGTTCGTAGATGTCCAATATCGGTCCACTCCTTCTGGTACATCCCCCTCCCTCCTTCTGGCACCTCCCCCACAAAAGGTCGAAATTTTCAAAAAATATATTTTTTACACAGAAAGAGAAAGCATAATCCTAATATTTGCGGCAGCGCTAGTTCAGGTGTGAAAATGGACAATATCGGTCCGCTCCATCAAGTACCTCCCCCAGAAATGTTAAATAAATTTTGAATAATTACAACTCTCATAAAATGTGATGTAAGACTCCGATTGTCTTCAAATTTCAAACATCCCAATATTTATATTATATTAACCCAAGGTCTATATATTCTGCACAGTAAGAAAAGCAATAATCCGATTTGCTTTAGTTCTCGGTCAGGTGCAAAAAATAATATCGGTCCACTCCATCAAGTGCTTCCCCACAAAGGGTCAAATTTTTGAATATTTACGACCATTTTAAAATGTGATGTAAGAATACGATTGTCTTAAAATTTCACACATTCCAATATTTTTATAAACTCAAGATCTGAGGTTAAAATGGAATATATCGGTCGACTCCTCCTAGTACCTCCCCCACAAAAGGTCGTAATTTTGAATATCCATTAATGATTTCGCATAAAATTGAATATGAATGTTCTATTTTTCGTAGTTTTGGCTTAATATTTATACCCTGCGCCACAAGGTGGTCAGGGTATTATGTCTTTGTGCATTTGTTTGTAGCAGGCAAAAGGAAATGAGATAGACCCATAGTTCCTTTTGATGATCTGCATAGAATCACATTCTGAGCCGATTTATGCATGTCCGTCCGTCCGTCTGTCCATGTATTTTTGTAAACAAAGTACAGTTCGCATTTATTGCCCGATCCAGATGAAATTTTGCACAAATCATTTGTTTATCCCAAAAACGAACCCTATTTTGGAGATAATCGGTCAAAATTTAGATATAGCTCCCATATATATCTTCGCCCGATTTGCCTTTTATTGTGCACCAAACGTGTAATATCAGTCCGAATAGTATGGAATTTTGCACGATCAGATTGGACCTGAAAATAAGTATGCCAAATTTGATCGAAATCGGTTCAGATATAGCTATAGCTCCCATATATATTGTTCATCCGATTTGTTATTTTTGTCCTTCGCAGCCGTAATATGCACTCTGTAACAACAATATTTGGGGAAATATATCAAATACAGCTCAGAGATACATTTGCTAAATTTTATCGAGATCGGTTCAAAATTGGATATAGCTCCCATATATAACTTCGTCCGATTTATCTTTTATTGTGCACCAAACGTCTAATATTTGCCCAAATAGTATGAAATTTGGCACTTACGACCGAATTGAGTCTAAAAGCTTGTATGTCAAATTTGGTGAAGATCGGTTCAGATATAGCTATAGCTCCCATATATACTGTTCATCCGATTTGTCACATTTGTTACCCACAGCCGTAATATTCACTCCGTAGCAATGATATTCAGGGAAATATATGAAATACAGCTCAGAAATATCTTTGCCAAATTTTAACAAGATCGGTTCAGATTTGGATATAGCTCCCGCATATATATCTTTATCCGATTTCAAATTAATTGTGCACCAAATGGGCAATACAAGTCCGAATTTAAAAGATACAAATGCTTTGGCATATTTAGTCCTTTGAACTTAAAATTATAATTATAATCATAGCGTGTATGATTGAATTCTCCCATAAAAACTTTTAATTGCAGCTCTACTAAATTAGCAAAGTGGTGTAGGGTTTCATAAAGTCGGTCCCGCCCGACTTTAAGACTTTTTTTACTGGTTTTATCTATATTAGGTGAGGTATGAAAATGGAATGCTTCCGTCGACTATATCCGGTACCTCGCGCATTTTTTAACATCATATAAAAATTATCACATATTTCATACAAACTGAAGGAAGTAACCAATAGAGTCGAAACCTGACACGACGCAATATTTATATCATATTTATTTAGGAACTATACGAAATATGACAAACATTCCTTCGGAACCAACTCCATACAGGGTCAACAATTTGAATAATCATAACACAAGTCAAAATATATTCGATTATATAATCGAACATTGGCTGATGGTATATATCTGTCGGCTAAACTGACTGAGACTTTCTAACTTGTTTTAACATATTATTGTTAAAAATTTGATATTTGACGAAACAACAATATTTTATTCGTTATTTGTCTGTATAGCTGTATTGAAACACTGTTAGTTATGACTTTGCACATATAACTTACACTATGCCTAAAAGTATGCTATAAAATGTATCAACACAACAATACGTAATTGATGATATCCTAACATAAAGCAAAAAGGCAACAATTTTTAGAATTCATTTCAATTCCTCAACAAAATGTTAACATTTGCTTATCCTTTGAAATTCTCTGAAATTCATATGAAGACATTTTGAAACGTCCAAAAAATACAAATACCCAAGAAACATCCTTTTAATTACCTATCATGAATATTCAATTTGTTTCCTTGGAATAGGGCGAGGTTCACTTTTGTTTCCTTGTAGCGAAACAAGAGTCCTTTATCAAAAAAAGATTGCCCTGAGGCTGTCGTACATAAATAAAATAGTCGGTGAACCCCACACTCACACACTCACAAACAAAACATACAGATCATATTTATGGTTTTTATCGGAAGATCACAAAGCAAATGTTGGGTGTTGCTGAATTGTTTCCCCCTCCCAAAAAAAAAGAGTTGAATTTGTTGAATATTTTTGGTCATAATTATTTTTTGTTTTATTTTTCTCTTTGCCTTGTTACCGTTTTACAGGAAGTGACGAGTTTAGTTTTAACATTTTAGGAAGTTGGCAAGAATGCGAAGGGGTAGCGGAGAAGAAAGTAGAAAAAAAGTGGATCTTAGGAATTAAATGAAATTTGTGAGTAAATGATTTTAAGAGAAATTTAAGTAGGAATATCCGACTTACTATGTGTTTACATAAGGCAGGACGATACTATGGAGGGATTCGTAAAAGTTGTGTAAAACCAGCCGGACTTGATATAAAATTACAACTGCGGTAATAAGGGTGATCTGAACAAATGGCCCACAAAATCAATTGACTAATCAGGTGTTAATGTTTCAATGTTTTTTTTATACCCTCCGCCATAGTATGGAGGGTATATTAAGTTTGCCATTCCGTTTGTTTGAGATTTGGCGGTGATTTCGATATTCGACCTATACTTGTACGAAGAGTACTGAATGCTACTAAATTTGGTATTGGGAGAAGGGATAGAGTTAGAATCCTCAAATTTGAAATTGAGGTCACTGTTGGTATCTGGAATTGAGATATGAAGGTGGTTTTGGATATGCGTACTATAACTGCATTTAATAGTACGGAATTTGGTAAAGAGGAAATTACCGAGCTGAAATATACTTAGGTTACTGTTGGTATCTGTAGTTGAGATATGGAGGTTATCCTGAAAATGCCTGCTTTAACAGTACGGAAATAACTAAATGCTACTAAATTTGGTATTGGGAGAAGGAATCGGGTTAGAATCATCAATGGATGTCACTGCTGGTGTCTGTTGTTAAGAGAAGGAGGCGAGGTTGGAAATGCGTACCAAGAACGTGCAAAAAGTGCAAAATACAACAAAATGCGCCATTGGGGTCTGAAAGTATAACTGTACGAAAAGTATGGTAATAAATTTGGGATTGGGTCTTAGGATAGAGTTGGAATTCTGAAATTCGATATGGAGGCTACTGTTTACACATATTTTTGAGAGAAGGAGGTAAATTTGGGAATACGTGCTATGATTTTTCGAAAAGTACTAAATCGTACTAAATTTGGTATTGGGTGAAAGAATAAATCTGAAATCCTGAAATTTGACTTTGAG